GTTCCGCCACCGCCGCCACCATTGTTCAATACGGAAAAGGGCGGCGGTGGCGGCGGCGGCGGCGCCGTCAACCACAACTCAGGAGCCGACTCCAGCAGCAGCTGATGGGCCTTACGAATGAACAGATCCAGAAGCTTCGCCCGCGCAAAGGTCATCGCGGCGTCGTGCGCGGAGGCAAACACGGATTGAATTGATGTCCCTGGCGCCACCGCCGCCGCCGCCAGAGGTGCACAAGCCTGCTGTAGCAACGCATCCACCCCGGCCGCGGACACCGCCCCTGGCGGCGCCGCCGCCGAGGGGAAAGTCTCCCCGGAGCGGCTCGTCCTGCTACTGCTACTGCCTACACTACTGCTGCTGCCACTGCTACTGCTGCTACTGGTGGCCACGGTGACGCCACTCAAAGAAACCAGGCTGCTACTGCTCACGCTGCCTATGCTGCTACTGCTGCTGCTAGTACTGCTACTGCCATTTCCCGTTGCTCCGGAACCATTATACAAGCTGGCACTGCCCAAGCTTTCCAGCGCTCGCTGTAGCTTCAGGATTTGCTCTTTGAGAATGAGGAGTTCGTCGTCCGCGAAAGAGCCTGGCGGCGGCGGCGGTGGCGGCGCCGTCGCCGCTGCCGTCGGAGCGGCGGCAGCGCCACCACTCGCAGCAGATGCCGGTGGCCCCAATGCCGGTGAGGAAATGCTGCTTCTAAACGTGGACGGCGACACAGACGGTGGCGGCAGCTGCCGACCAGACGCAGCCGTGGCGGTGGCGCCTCCCGAGCCGCCGCTCCCTTGCCCTGTGCTGCTACGAGACCTGGGTTGGCAGCACAGCACAGCACAGCACAGCACGGGGATCATGTCGCAAGCCGGTATTGCGGGAATGCTAAGTCAAGGGACCCGGGCCCAGTGTGCGAGATGAACGTGCGAGGAAGGATATAAAAAAAACAGGATGTAGGAAGAGGGTGGAGGGTGGGGGGTGGGAGGAGGGCACAAGGGGGATCCAAATTGGATGATATCCTAGGGAAGCAGGTGCAGTATTGTCGAGCTGAAACGAGCTGGGCTGCCGAAGAAATTAGTTGTAGGAGCCACTTGGTGATTCAAGGACACAAAGCATGTGACCTCCCTGCAAATATTTTGGAGGAGGCATCACGCATGCGTCCGTCCGTAGGCGCATGCGTGTGTGTTTTGTGGTACTGTGTCGTACCCTGCGTGTTTTCACAACAAGTGTGCCACCGTGTGTGTTTGTGTGGGGCGGAAGTACATCGTTTCGAGAATTTAATCCGGATGGAGGAGCCCAATGAACGAGTGTTTAAGGGCTGACCCATATGGATTTCATCGGGACGATTTGTGGCATGGAAGTTCATTATGGGTGTGGGAGCCTTGGTTCATTTACTTTATTCAGGAGTCAGAGACGCAAACAAACGCATCGAGATATAGAATGGCAACTAGACACAGAATGGTAAGAAGCAACCTGAGTTACACCCGCAGATACCTTGTGGACGTGGCTTGCAATGTATTTAATGGTGCAAAGCATCATTAGTGAAAAAAGGAGGCATGAGACTTGCAAGTATCGGCCCGGAGGGCCTGCAGGAACCGGTCTGCCCGGAGTCGGGGACACCGCGGAAGCTTAAGAGGCCGTGGGCAATATTCGCTTTCTAGCCGCGCTCTTTACAACCAAGTTTTAGAGAGTTGCTCATGTTGTCGTGATGGGGACCATTTGTGTCCCAGTTCCGCAGAAACCCGGGGCCCCACATCTAGCTGAGTAGTATCGCGAGGGAACGACAGCGGATAAACGGAGATGATTGTGTACAAGAAATTGATCTACACTTTATTGCTATCTTCAGCAACATGGCGAGCCTACTCCCGCCCTGGCAAACAGTAAACATGGCCTCACCTAAAGTGGTCCCCCTGTGCGCCCGCGGATGACTTTGATGAATTAACGGTTTGACCATAGATGACAACAGCATGTGAAACCGAGGACGTTGAAGGAGGCTGGTGGCCGGTTAGCACCAAGGCGTTGCTAACGACACTTTGATTTTGGGTATAAAGCGGCTTCATTAATAGCGCAGAGCGTACGCCAGATGATGTTGTGCTTCGCTGTCTGGATGGCGACAACGAGCTCGAAGGGCTGCTGGGCGCACCATCTTGACGTTTGCCGTGCTGAGCTGAAACCGAGAGGTTGCCTCCTGTAGGCAACGCCAGATTCAGCATTTTGTAATTCATGGCAGACATCTCGCAGTGCCGCTGCACAGCTGAAGCCTATGCAGCGGGCTTATAAAGGATTACGTGGTCGCTTGGGGTGTCATTTTGCCTTCCTATTTACGGCAAACCCAATGCTGAGAAGACATCTACTACATGAAAATGTAGAAGCTTGACGACGGGTACTTTCCTTTGTGACCGTACGCGTACGACGAGCTAGAAGCAAGCGAAAAGTCTCCTGCAATACTAGCTAAAGTCCTATCCGCGTAACATCCCATTACTTAGAAATTGAGCTATATCTATTACCCGCGTTTCACACAATTACAGTTTAGAGACCTTCAACCGAATCCTGGGCGCTAAGCCCGCTGCCTGATACTAGTGATCATGTGGGATGCGATAACGGGACTGGCATTGAACAATAGAAACACGACGGGCAACCCCGGCGCCAACAGGTACCTCCAATTCTTGACCAGCGGCCCGGTGCTTGACGACCAGGCGCCAGCATCAAGTACTACCATTCGCCCACCAGGAGCATGCCAGCTGTGGATTTTCGTGGGCTCCGTCCTATCTTGCGGTGTCCAGGCGGACCCCACCCCCCTCCAACCCCGGAATAACTCCAACCCCCGAAATAGTTGTCCAGGAGTTGCCTGAGCGCCTCTTTGTCAACTGGGTTTCGCACCGCTTGCGGAGTCGCCGCTCCCCTGTCCAATACCCAGCGCCGCGCACCCCACCCTCTAGGGCCCTTCCCTCAGGGCCCGATTTCCCCCTTTGCCTTATCCTTGTCTTGTCTTCTCCCCTCCCCAGGCCTCCAGGGTGTGTCCGCCTTTGCAAGGCGCCTGCGTCCTGCAGCCACCTCCGTCCCCCCCTCCCCGCTGTGGCGAATCATAACTTCAGAGCGTCACCTCATATCGCTGCTGTTACATTGGGAACAATTACGGTGCCCCACATCGCAAACGCTTAGTGCAGCAGTCCACGAGCCCCCTTGTGCGTGTGTGTGTGTGTGTGTGTGTGTGTGTGTGTGTGTGCGTGATTGAGTGCGTCTCTGTCTGTCTTGACGGACATCCGTTGTGGGGAAAACATGTGTTTGCTGGTCAGTACGGCCGGGACAACCGGTAACACATTGCTTTGCCTTGTCTCTCTCGTCTCGTCTTGTCGTATGCCTGCGTCTCGGAACAATGTCGATCCCGGTACCAGTTACCGTACCAAGACTGTTGTAAGGTGGAAACGTATGGAAACCGGGATGCGTCCTGAGGGCCCGGGTTAACTTGCGGACTTGGGCCGATCGCACGTCTTCTTTGCGCTATCTTGGTTCTCAGAATAAAGTCTGGATGCGAGCTAAACGGCTCACATGCTTGCGACTTTGCAAGTCGCAAGGTCGTAAGCTGTAGGGACCCGAAATCATACGATATTAGATGCAGAATTGAGCAATTCAGAGGCATGGCTTGTCGGCCGCGTGATTAGTAATGGTCAGGCTTCTGAGCCGATTTTCTCATTTTCCTCCCGATCTTTTTACCACCGGCAAGGTCGCGCCATCCAGCAAGCTCCGAACGGGGGAAATAGCAGGGGTGCCATTTCCCCATTGCGGAAGATAGTCACACTGGCCATACTCTGGCAAGATCCACTCAAGTCGTCGTGCTCCACATACAGCGACAGTGTGGCATACCTGCTAGCGTGCATTGGGGAGGGGTGGATCGGCGTCTAGCCCAGGCCTTCGTGTAGGTCTAGCATAGCTCCTCCTGTGCTCCTCCTGTGCATGGCTTGGCACTTAAAGTAGGCAGGTGCAGCTCCTGACATGGCGGGTGGTTGGAGACCCTACTTATGTACGGCAGTCGGGTGCTGGTTGGCAGACTCACCCATGTTGCATGTCAGGGTGTATATGTATCATACCCGCGGCGATGGTGGCCGAAATGATGCCAAGACCTGCGTACTAATGCTTTTTGGTTGGCCGAGGTAGAGGTCAGGTTGGATCGGAGTGTGTGTGTTGGTGGATAGATGGCTTTCATTTCCGTGAAATGTCAGCAGTTAGGGAGCGTTCGCAACCACCAAGTAACGGCGGCACTTGTTACTGGTCCGAGGCCTCCTTAATTACAATATTAATAATAAAAACATGACCGTGCAATTCTCGATGATGCACAGCACCTTTAGAGGCGCTTTCCAACGTCGTTGTTACAATGTTGGGCAGCAATCGGTCGTGTTGTCGCCAGCCAACAACTGTGATGACCGCAGCTGCCGCTGCAACCGGCTTGCAAGCATGCACGTCAAGCAGCCGATGAAGAAGAGTCTGCGCAACCCATGTGCAAGCAACTATCCATCATTAACTGATTGAAAGACAAATACAACCGGGATAATCATGTACCGGTATGGTGATGATGCAAGCTACTTCCAAAGCTCCTCGCTCACTATACACACACACACGTAAGTTAATTATGCGCTATACCGTGGCTCATTATTCATAAACTGCATTACCTATGGTCTTGTAAGATTTTAGTTCGTAACGACAAGTTTGCATGCTTCAGAGGCGAGCAGCACGGTCGGCTCGGTGCCGACCACCTGCTGCTGCTCGCCAGCCCTCACTTCCTCTGCACGCTGGTTACGCTGCACCTTCTGGTATTGCAGCAGAAGGGGGGTAAGCGGAATAGCCGTACCAGGGAAGGACACGCAAGGGTTGGCGGTTGCGTGCAGCAGTGATTAGGGATATTAACCATGCGGCTGTAGATGGCGGATGGATGGACAGGCAGCAGCCATCAGGCTGACGAAACGCAGCTGTGCTATTAACTAGATTAACTATTAACTTGATTAACTATTAACTATTAACTAGATTACCTATTAGACAGCGAATGATTAACGGACAAGCTACCCAGCAGCCCAGACAGCTCCATGCAACGGCAGTAGTCTGCAGAGGAATAACGCTGCCTACCGCAGCAAGTAGGTATCAACGCAGACTCCAGACATTGCTTCTTGTTAGGTATTACCGCTGATAGCGCTCACCCTCAGCAAGGTCCAGACCCGGGATTGCTGGCCAGAAGTGCCCGGGTGCGCCCACAGAGGCTCAATAGGGGCCGGGCTGAGACCGGCAGCTTGCGCGGCCAAGCTGCGACTGGCAGCAGCAGCAGCAGCAGTCATACCTTGAAAATGGGCACTCAAGCATCCCAGCCATAACGAATGCTGTTGCTTAATTGGGTGACCAGCAGAGGTTTGTCATCAACTGTGTGAGTGACCAGGAAGTCCCATATAACCCTTTGCGACTACAGGGAAAGGGTTATAGTCGCAACCCTATAACCCTTGCAATGAGTCTCTGGAGCTCCTGTTGGGGTGGGGTGGCCATCACCCTGAAAACTCATTATGCACTGCCACCAGCACCTACAGCTACATAGCTACGTTATTAGCCCACTGGCTCCTATGCTGCCGGACTGACACGTTGCTAGGCGCTAGCTGTGCACAAAAGCAATCTCCTTTACCTTCCAGACTCAAGGCTGGTGTGATCGACGCTGTACGTCAAAGGTGAAAAAGTGTTGGCGGCATCCTGGCAATCTTTCCCTCGCCGCCCCTGCCGCCGCTTCCAAGCAACCGCGGCCCAAACCATCGCCACTATTAGGGACACAGCAACCACGGCCCCTGCGTATAGAAAAAACATCGCGCCTTGATTTATTGAAATGTTCTCGGAGTATGCACGCATCGTGGTGGGTTGGTGCCTTGACCCTACGACTGGCTTCACGGACGTGTTGTCGAAGCCGCTTTGATGCTGCCCACGTAAAGACCGTGCTCAGAGCGCTTGAGAAGAAGGCGACACATATGCACTCAGAGCGCGTCAAAGTTGGAGTCGTAAGGCGTCGTTGGCACTGACAGATAGAGGGGTATTGGTGGCGATGGCGCTGGGTTTGGGCATGGTGCGGTTGACATGGGCCATGTATGTCGCGAGCTAGCTCGGCTTCTCAAGCTTGCAGGTTGTTGCGCTCGCTCCTAGGTGACAGCATCGAGGTCAATGTCCTCCCGCGCAGAGGCCGTCTGGCGGGAGGGAAACTCGCCTTCGGAACTCCCTAAGAAATAACCAGTCACCAAATAGAACGCAATGCACGGATGTGTGCGTCAGAGGAATGAAGTAGTAGGTAGGAAGAGACAAGCGGCGGCTTGCTGGCTGGGAAGGCTGTAATTGTGCTGCTCTAGCAGCTGACGCTGCCGACCGTACTGTACCGAGTATGTGAGTACCTACATCCCGGTGCCCTGATCACCGAGTATCCACCCACCTGCAACTGCAGGCCCCACCACTACTGCACGATGGTGCTGGCGGCTATTACTGCTGTTACCAGGCTGCTCAGGCTGCGGATCTGGTCGGTAATCGTCTAAGAAAGACGTGGCATTCTCAAACTGGCGCCTGGTTTCCTGATAGCAGACCTGGAGCTCAGCCTGGTCCTCTTTGAGGCACGCGATGCTCACGATGTGTTCGCACAGGAGGGTGACACTTCGAAGATAGAACACTGTGTTGGTGGGGACGGACTGGTCTGAGGACGGGTCAATGCGGTTGCCGTCACCCGCCACCCCCACTACGAAGGCACCATCTGGCCAACACCGTTGTAGCGGCGGCACGGAGGACCCGTTGCGGCAGCCACCCTGTTGCAGACAGGGATCAAGGCTTAACAAGCAAGATGACTGATATGTACGGATGTACGTACATATGATGATGTGTGGGACAGGGGAGTCATATCTTCACCCTACAGTCGCTACCCGGCGAAACCCTGCCTTCCCCGGTATTTTGGGGCACCCTCATCCAGTCACCCTAGTCAATTTATTCAGTGGATCGCTCAGGTTCAGCACCCACCACCAGCATCCAACGGAATCTGCCGGGTCGACAGCGGCCCAACTCCATTCCTGGTCTGCTCACATATGTATGCACGTATGTATGTACATGTACGGGTATACATGATAACACGTGATAGTCAGCTACATACTATCTAGCTACAAATCCATACATGGTGTGCAGTGTGCCACAGGGTAACTTACAATACTTCAAGAATGTGCCATACATAGGCGGCAGAACTCTGCCAATCAGCCACTACCTACCTCCGGATGATAGCCTGGAATGACCATCTGCGGGACATCCGGGTACTTGCTCGGCTTAGTAGCTACGCTGTCTGACTTCAACTGGAAGGAACTTGGGAAGCAGATCACTGATGAAAAGATCACACGCGTACATATGGACATACAGATGCATACGTACGAAGGCACGGGCAATAAGCATGGGATAGGCCTGCTACGCGAATTGCAATGGATTCAGGCCGATCCAATCGTTGCCATCATGCAGGCAGCTTACAACACAATGGTTGCTTAACAAGGGACAACCCTGTAATTTGCACACACGTATGTTTGCAGGCTTCACTGCACCTAAATCAGCAGAGTCCAATCACTCATAATCGTTCTACATACCGCGACCACTGCCGCATTTGCGCAACTGAGTACAGCCTTTCAGCTTAAAGTTTCCCAATCCTTCTTATTATGGTTTGCTTTCCCCATCTTGTCGTCTATCTCGGTTTTTCTTGTTCCCACTGTTGGGCAAATGGTTGTCGAGACGCAACAAGGCATTCGTTGCTCTATTCCTCGATTGGGCGGAGAGGCCTCCATGGCCAAGGCCTGCGCTATTGCCTCTTATTGCCCTATTGTTCAATGTTCTATTGACAACCCCAGCGCTGTTGCCCTGACAACATACGCATGGATAGCTGGCGCGCCGAGTCTGGCATACGTTGCAAATCTCGGCAGATCTCGACAATGAGTGGGATAGAATCCCTCGACTGTAAGAGGCGAGATGTAACCCCTATGGTAATGGAAGGTGATGGACTCGATTATAGTGACCTGCAAGTCGGCCAGGACTGGAATGGCACCGGCCATTAATTTGCACGACCCCCCTGGATGGCGGTGGCGGTGGTGGTGGTGGTGGTGGTGGTGGTGGTGGTGGTGGTGGTGGTGGGTGCTGACCCTGTAACAGTCGCTGACTTGGCTGAAGTCGACACATGTGGTTGATGAGGAGGATGAGAGTGTGTCCCGAAACAGTGGGGAAGGTGGTAGGGGGACTGCCCCGCTAGTGGCAACGGGTGAGCTGTACCCCCCACCTACTTCACACATCATCGAAAGCCGGATAATCAACATCGTCTGTTGGAAATCGCATTGTCTACAGGTCGTGCCTGTTGGTGAGACGCTATCTCACAGGGACCTAGCAGACACGACTAAGGAGACATTAGCCGTTACACGTGTTCGGGAGATCCGCGACCTACCACCGAAAGCCCCTTTGCCTAGGCGTAAACGTGTGAATCTGAGGTACTGTTACCGATAAACAGCAGAGACTTATAAAGGCTGGGAAAGCCTATCCCAAAGGACGAGAGCTACCAGTACGCTAGAACCTAACAGCCGTTATGACGGGCCTCCCGAGACAGGTCCAAAGCTGTCACTCAGTCTAACATGCGACCTCAGACCGGCCTCAGCTGCCACTTACGATAGTCTGACAAGTTGCCCAAACAGGCCACAGGGCGACACGGCAACCCTTCGCATCAACACGCCCCCTCGTGTCGCACTAGGGGCCTTACTACTAACTGCTAGTACCGACTAGCTAGATCGGCCGACAAGTCCGCGGTCCAGGCCGACTGCTCAACACTCAGCAGATACAAACGCATCTTGCCAGCCTTCAGCCTGACGGCTATGCGGTCTGGTGCTGCTGTACAAACACAAACAGGGAAAACAGTGCCGTACAGCACCATACGCACTGTCTACGGCGCCCCTTCGGGCATTAACCTGCCCATTCGGGCGCCTGCTCACGCACCCTCAGCTCCCCCCTAAAGCCTAGCTCAAAACAATTCCTCAAAGCCCTCGGCACTCCTCCTCTGGCGATCTAAGTAACGCCCAGCGCTGTGCGGCAGCGCACGAACTTGACCTCGCCCAGTGCCTTGGTTAGGATGTCAGCCACCATGTCGTCGGTGGTGCAATAGCTGAGCTTCACCTCACCACGCGCGACCCTCTCGTGCACGATGTGGTGGTGCACGTCGATGTGCTTGGAGCGCACCGACGTGATGGGGTTGTTGCCGAGGCTGAGCGCGCCTTGCGAATCCAGCTGGACGTTGACAGCACCTGGGGAAAGGTCCAGATCGCTCGCCAGCTTGCGCAGCCACAACGCCTCGCGCACAGCTGCTGCTGCGGCCTGGTATTCGGCTTCCACGGACGAGGCAGCCACGGTGCGCTGCAACTGACTGCTCCAGCTGACCGCCGCGCTACCGAGCAGAAAAGCGTAGCCCGTGGTGGACCTGCGGGTGGCTGGGTCGCCGGCCCAGTCTGCATCGCTGTACCCACAGAAATTGCTGGCTTCGCCGCAGTAACTGTAACGACGCAAATGCCAATCTGAGCATCCCGGGTTACGCCTTTGCTGTGTTACAATGGTATCGAGACGGGACCGCACGAATTCCGAAATAAACTTCGGGTCGGCGGTTCGATTCTGGCAACCAGCAAGTCGCAAATTGGCGATTTCATGGAGTAATGGATAAACCAGCGCACTGGCGCGAGGTGGGATGGCTCCTGTGCTCGAAATAATGGCCGAGGACGTCCATTGCTAAGTGGGGGGCAATGTAACGACGCAAATGCCAATCTGAGCATCCCGGGTTACGCCTTTGCTGTGTTACAGTAACGCAGACCAAGCGCCCGAGTGCCAGAGACGTAACGCAGCACACCCAGAGCGAGCCCCATGTGGGCTTTGGTGGGGGCGGACATGTGCCGCGCCAGCATGCTCAGAGCGTGTGCGATGTCTGGGCGTGTGCTGGTAGCGAGGTAATTTAGTTCGCCCACCAGCGTGCGGTAGCCACTGCTGTCCGTCAGTATCGGCCGGGTGTCACTGGCTGGCAGAACCCGCGTACCCTGGGGTAGCGGGGTGGCACGTGGCTTGGCGTTCTCCAGGCTGTGGCGCTGAAGCAGCTGCTCCACGTAACGCTGCTGCGTGAGCATGATGCTGCGGTTGCGGCGGTCCTGGACGATCTCCATGCCGAGGTAGTAGCGCGCCTCTCCAAGGTCTCGTACAGCGAAGCAACCAGCTATGGCCGCTTTGGCGGCCGCAACCAACTGCGGGTTGTCCGCCGCCACCAGCATGTCATCAACGTGCACGAGCACATCGATGGAGCCATCGGACCCCCGCTTGACGAATAGCGCGGGGTCGGACGTAGACGGTTCATAGCCTAGCTTGCCCAGCTCCGCCGCCAGCTTCTCGTACCAGCAACGTGGGGCTTGCTTGAGGCCGTAAACAGACTTTAACAGCCGGCACGCCTGCGTCGGGTCGCCGTTGCTGTAACCTGGTGGCTGTCGCATCCACAGCTCCTCTGCCAGGTCACCGTTCAAGAAGGCCGTTTTGACGTCCATCTGGTGGACCGTCATACCTCTGGCTGCTGCCACAGCTAGAAGTGCCCGCAGGGAGGCTGCACGCGTAGTGGGCGCAAACAGCTCTCCATAGTCTATACCCGCTCGCTGTTCAAAGCCTTTCACCACCAAACGCGACTTGTAGCGTACCTCACCGCCTGGCTCCTGTTTGATTTTGTAGACCCAGCGGCAGTCCAGGATGCGTGCACCGGGTGGCGGCGTGCCCAACTCCCAGGTCTTGTTGGAGAGCTGCGACAGAATCTCGTCATCCATCGAAGTTCTCCACTTGTCCGCTTGTGGACTCGCCACCGCTTCCTCATAACTGCGCGGCTCCTGCACCGCGCTGTTGCCTCCGCCGCCCGCATTGCCGTCGCCTGCCTCAGCATAATCGCTTCCCGACGCTTTGTTAAGCAGCGGTGGACTACCCAAATCTCCGCCGCTGCCGCTGCTGTTGTTGGCTGGGCAGACCGTGGCCAGCGGCGGGTGAAGAGGTTGCCGTTGGCTGCGTGTGTTGGGGCGGAGGGGGGGTGCTGGGTCCACTGGAGGCGGTGCATCCACTGGAGGCGGCGGTGTGGCGGGCTGTGTAGAGCCGCCGACAGGGTCGCCGCTGCCAGGACGGGCGGGGCTAGCACCGAAGGGGGTACCCGCCCGTTGAGACGCCAGGCCGCGGAGGTCGTCATCGAAGGTGACGTCGCTGCTAACAGTCACCTTACCGTCGACGAGGACACGGTGGGCGGCCGTGCCGTGCTCCGGTCCAAGGTAGGTTCCCGCCTCTGCGCGGGGACCGAGTTTAACCTGCTGGCTGGTTGGGACGCGGACGTATGCCAGGCAGCCGAAGGTGTGCAGGTGACTGACGTCGGGGGTGACGCCATGATAAGTTGCCCACGGCGTGGCCTCCCGGCCCTGAGAGGGGGAAACATTGCGCAGGAGGTTGGCATATAGCACAGCTTCCGACCAAAAGCTGTCCGGGAGCGCGGCATCGTACAGCATAGCCCGCACCCGGTCGAGGAGCGTGCGATTGAGCCGCTCCGCTGCGCCGTTCTGCTCCGGAGTGTACGGCGCCGAGTGGGTGCGCGCAGTGCCGCGCTGGCGTAGCCACTGTGCCAGTTGCTCGGCGACATACTCGCCACCGTTATCACTATGAAGGGTGCGGACCCGTGCACCGTTCGGGTTGCGAGCCTCCAGCTGCGTCACCATGTCCTGCAGCACTTCGCCCACTTGGTTCTTGCTAACCAGTGTGCGAACGGCAGACAGACCGGAGGCACCGTCCAGCAGCGTTAGCAAGTAGCGAGCCCCTCCTCGGCCCGTGGTCGGCATGGGCCCGCACAGGTCAGAATGTACGACCTCCAGGACATGCTGAGGCCGGTTACCGCGGCTGACATGGGCTGTAGCTGTAGTCTTCGCTGTGACACAGGCTTCGCAGACACCCTCTGCCGCCTGACGCAGCACCGTGGGAGTGACCCGTGGTCCATGTACCAGCTGCTTGGTGATAAGCTGCTCCAACGCCCGGTAACCAAGGTGGCCGAACTGGCGGTGCAGGCGCTGCGCTGCTGCGAGTTCGGCGGCTGAGCACTCAAGGGCGCCCAGCTGCCCTTGGCCGTTGCTGGCGCCGTTCGACTGGTCTCCGCCGGTGTCACTGCTGTCGGCGCCGTTCGGCTGGTCCCCGCCGGCGTCACTGCAGCTGGCGCCGGCGGCAAATCCGCCAGCACTGCTACGTCCGCCGGCTCTGTCTTCCGCAGCGCCGAGCGCACTGACGGCGCGTTTGGTCGGCGCCCGAAGGTCCACGTCCATGACGTAATGCCCATGCTCGCTCCACACGGTGATAGACGAACCGCCGTGCGGCAGGCCTACGCGCGAGAACCGGCGGCCCGCCTTGTCCGTGCCGAACGTGACTGAGCAGCCGCGTGTCACGAGAAGGTCGACAGACATGAGCGTTAATCCCGAGCTGGGGACATGGAGCACGTTGCGTAGCCAGACGGATTCTCCATCGCGTGTCCGTAGGAGCAGCTGCCCTGTTCCCATGACGTCGGCTAGCTGGTTGTTCCCCCATTTGATTTGCTTGGGCGAGCCGGCAGGAACGTAACTATGCAACAGTGAGCGGTCACCTGTAAGGTGGTAAGGTGAACCAGAGTCTAGGACTACTGCTGAACTGTTGCCACTGCCACCGACGACCAGCACCGTGGCACGGTTCTGGCGTGAGCTTACACCGCCACTGCCGCCGCCACTGCTTCCGCCAGCAGTGTCGCTGCCGCTGCGGCGGCCGTTGCCGCGTCTAAAACGGCCGCGTTCGCGCGTCCTGTCGCCCCCGCTGTTATTGCCGCCGCTGGTGCCTCCGCCGCCGCCATCATGTTGGCGGTTGCCGCTGCCACTGCTGCCGGCGCCAGTACTGCGTGGCTGCTCAAACGCATTGCTGCGGTAGAGGCCTACGGACATGTCCGCCAGCTTAACGGGGCACTCACGGACATAGTGCCCAGGCTGTCCACAGTAGCGGCAGGTGTCGTTGGCCCCCGCGGCGCCCGAGGCGCCGGCAGCCCTGCGGACTCCACGGGCGGTGCGACCAGGGCCAACAGCTCCAACCAGGCCGGACTTGACTGCTTGGGCCTTCAGGTTGTTCTCCTTCTCCCGCAGCATGAACACGAGCTGCGGGGTAGTCAAGTTAGGCAAATACATTGCGAACTCGACAGTGATAGCGTACTGTGGAGGCAGACCGTGGAGAATAGCATGTCGCATAGCAACCTCGTCCCACTGGCCGCCCGCCGAGATAATGTCGCTGCGGAGCTGCTCCGCCCGCTGAACAAAGTCAGTGGTCGTCTCGTCGTCGCCCATGCGCAGTTGCTTCTGCGGCTCTAGCAGGCTAAGCCGGGCCTGAGAGGCAGAACGGAACTGCAGCTGTAAGAGCTGCATGGCGGCGAGAGTCGACTGACAGTTCCTGAGCAACTGCTTTACTGGCAGTTCGCAGGAAAGACGCAGGTAGCCAAGCGCCTGGGCATCTTCCTCCAGAGCGTCTTGCGCATTGCATCCCGGTGGCGACGGGTTGGTCATATAGCTCCGCAGCTTAGATGTAGCAAGGAAGTCACTGAAGTCTCCTAGCCACTGCGAGTAGTTAGACCCGTCCGCTAAGAGGACGGTCTTACACCCTTTTCCCATGTCGGTTGCCTAGCGAGCCTCCCTGCTCAAGCTAAAAGCAACTACAGATATTAACCGTCGGGAACCGTTACCCGGGGCTCATAACCTGTTGGTGAGACGCTATCTCACAGGGACCTAGCAGACACGACTAAGGAGACATTAGCCGTTACACGTGTTCGGGAGATCCGCGACCTACCACCGAAAGCCCCTTTGCCTAGGCGTAAACGTGTGAATCTGAGGTACTGTTACCGATAAACAGCAGAGACTTATAAAGGCTGGGAAAGCCTATCCCAAAGGACGAGAGCTACCAGTACGCTAGAACCTAACAGCCGTTATGACGGGCCTCCCGAGACAGGTCCAAAGCTGTCACTCAGTCTAACATGCGACCTCAGACCGGCCTCAGCTGCCACTTACGATAGTCTGACAAGTTGCCCAAACAGGCCACAGGGCGACACGGCAACCCTTCGCATCAACAGTGCCCTGGTATACAAGTTAGGTATCAACCCCACCTAATATATTAGGACACGATCCCTGTACGACACACAGTTTTACTGACTGACAATACATACGTTCATATTTGCAGGATCGGCCCAGCTTCTAGATGCGCTTCGTATGCGAGGCTTCATCGTAATGAAGCCTCGCATACACGGGCCACCGTGGTGCTAACGATGAGTGTTTAGTGGCACATCCGACGGTGTATGTGCATGGATAGCGATAGCGAAGGATTTATGCTTCGGCCACTGTCGAGGTAATAATGAAATGCTTGCATGGCTGCTCGACATGCCGACTGTGTAATACGCTTGCACGCAATCCCCGACACCTATTTATTAAAATAGTAGACAACATCCGGAGCGCAGCGCAGGAGGACATACCGGTCGGCAGGAGGAGCAGGCAAGTGTGGGCGGCCACCCATGTACGCATTGTTGGACTTACTCACTGACATAGCCGCTGGCCCGAGCTGTAATTCTGACGCTTGGCTTGGCAGCGTGGGAGCCAGGAAGGAAAAGCCTGCATCAACACCACCGTGTAAAACAAACGTATAAACGCGCACCAGTCGATCAGTGTATGTGCCATATGCATGGCCGTAGGTGTGCCACGTAACTCGTAACTGATGAGCTCCTTGCCTGCAGATTGCGAAGTGAACCTCATCAACTCGCAATAAAAAGTAGTGATGTTGCCCTCTGGTTGCAATCTGTGTGTTTGATGCAGTGGGTCGTCCATATCATGATCGCATATTGTTTATGAGAGGGGAATACGAGACGAGAGGGAAGGGTATAGGTATAAAGCAAGGCGCCTGGCGCAGCAGCTTGCACTGATTACCAGCCAGCGCGTGCCATGTACGGCACCTCTGTCCTGGAGCAACGGCAGCCGAAGTGAACAACACCAGCAGCAGTGTAATAGAGAGCTGCGATTCCGCTGTGGCTTTCCCGGCTGCATGCATGCATGCATGTATACACCACCAAGCGAGTAACGCCAGCTAACTTGCCCTGATCACGATAGTTGTTGTCTCCGTTTGCGCCGTCCAGGAACAGGAAGCGGATAGCCCAGATGACCGTGTCCATGAGCCGAACCTGACGATACATGACAAGAGGAATGCAAGAGTGGTGGATGGGATGTACATGTAAGTACGCCAGCAATGTGGGACATTGTCAGCCTAGCAACAGCATACACACCACACGTGTATTGCACGGAAAGTTCATCATTCGTACCAATCAAACCATAGATGATGACACCAACTTGACATCCCTTTTGGGCACCATAAATACCTGCTGGCATCTATAGCCGGCTGGCAGATATACGGTGCGTGTGAAAGGGTGTATGGTGCGCGCTGTCCTCTTGTTGTGATATCAGTACTAGTAACCATCGAGGAAAGGGGGTAACGCGGGGGTCCCTAGTATGCGTGCACCGCCCTTGCACCAATAACACACCGTCGTACGCCCACGTGTGAAATAACGCCCGAAGTGTGCACAGCACCCCCGTCTTTGCTCACCACGTCCCTCACGTCATGAAGGCGCAGGAGCGGCCAGTCCGCCTCGTCTCCTTCCAACGTCAAGTTGCGGGTAATGGGGATGGGCAGGTTGCGCGCATCTCGCAAATCCAACACAGCAGCCTTTATCTATCTAACACCAGTAACTTGATCTGGTTGACGAACATGAAGAAACTCGACCCGAACAAAGTCGAGTAACCGTTGACATGACAAACTGTTTGTCATGTCAACGGTCTCGCATTCCTTCAAGCAACAAAGACCTCAGTAGTTCAAATTTTAATGTTGTTATGATAGGGACAAAATACTATGGAAGGTCAATTGCCACCCAGCTTGGGCGAGGGATGCATGGACGAGTTCCTGGCTCGGACGATGTACACGAGGACGGCTGTGACGAGATCAGCATCTCCCTTGCTCAGACAAGTGAAATGAAAAATCTTTGGACAGGTGAGCTATACCAGGTAAGCTTACAGTGCGGGAAAAGCGAGGATGTACACTGCGAACGCCGCCGCCCCCGGAATTTGCCACTGCTTTGTGCCATAGTCTGGATTCATGGTCATGCGCTGCAACGCACGCGACGCGACGACGCAGAGCCAAGGTAACAGCCATGTCACATGTCACATGACACAGTGCCACGTTGTTCGGGTCGAGTTCTTCATGTTCGTCAACCCTAGCAAGTTACTAGTGAAAAAGAGATAAAGGCTGTTGTGTTGGGATTTCGAGATGCGCGCTGGGGAAAGAGGTGGTTGGTCCGCTCCAGGGAGGCTTCATGTCTCAGCAGGGTGGCCCGGCACCTTTGCTAGGCCAACCACTGCCTATCGTGTCTCGGAAAACAATATGTTATCGGTTTACTCTTAAATGGTGCACAACCTTGTCACTGTACGTTGGATGAAGGATGGCTTACCTGTAACGTGGCTCGTCCTCCTCCCCTCTCCGAAGGGTGGGTGGGCGGGCGGGGTTCTGACTTGCGCTTGCTTGCCCTGTTGTCGGGTGATCTTGCGTTCTCTGAAGTTAGCGCCTTGTTCCTAGCTAATCTTTGTAACGAAACACCGTATCCGTCCCTGTCCTCTGCCCAGCTCTGGGCTGCGACTTCCTGCACCGCACTTGCCGTACCGCACTACAGGACGAGCACTTAATTGGTAAAGAGGAATGGCTGGCCGTCGTGTACGTGCACAACTATGCACGCTGTCACCGTCACCACCACTGCAGCTAACCGAAAGCACCTAAAAAAGCCTATGAAGCTTGGCCATGCCATACACTGCATGCTGCCATAAATTTATGGTCAGGGTTGTTATATTTCCGACTATCAGAAGTGCCGTACACACCAGTACATACCGGTGTGTACGGTACATAATACCGGTAGATGAGGGTTTCCCTGGCAAGTAGATAGAGGCTCACTATGAGGTTTGCTGAGCTACTGTGGAGCCAAGTATAGTTCGTCCCACCACAGGGCACCAATTTGTCGTATTTGGATTGTGTGAATCCACTGCCGCCGTCCTGGCCGTCTAACTTCCCGCAATGCGATAACGGGACTGACATTGAACAATAGAAACACAACGGGCAATCCCGGCGCCAACAGGTACCTCCAATTCTTGACCAGTGGCCCGGTGCTTGACGACCAGGCGCCAGCATCAAGTACTACCAGGCGCCCACCAGGAGCATGCCAGCTGTGGATTTTCGTGGGCTCCGTCCTCTCTTGCGGTGTCCAGGCGGACCCCACCCCCCTCCAACCCCGGAATAACTCCAACCCCGAAACAGTTGTCCAGGAGTTGCCTGAGCGCCTCTTTGTCAACTAGGTTGCGCACCGCTTCCGGAGTTGCCGCTCCCCTGTCCAATACCCAGCACCGCGCACCCCACCCTCTAGGGCCCTTCCCTCAGGGCCCGATTTCCCCCTTTGCCTTATCCTTGTCTTGTCTTCTCCCCGCCCCAGGCCTCCAGTGCGTGTCCGCCTTTGCAAGGCGCCTGCGTCCTGCAGCCACCTCCCTCCCCTCCTCCCCGCTGTGGTGAATCATAACTTCAGAGCGTCACCTCATATCGCTGCTGTTACATTGGGAACAATTACGGTGCCCCACATCGCAAACGTTTAGTGCAGCAGTCCATGAGCCCCCTTCCGGCCACCCGCTCTCAGCACTGGCTCCCTTTCCCCCCAGGTTCATGTGTGCCCCGTGCGGCAAACCTGCTCCCCTTTTTCCCCCTTGTTTTCACCAACAAGCCTTCACCAGCTATTCCCCTTCATCGTTTTCCAGGTTTGGTCGGTCATTCGTGTTGGCCGTCCTGCTCCTCAACGGCCGAGCCAGGACCTCCTTTCCCAATCTCCGCCGCCTCCGTCTCCTCCTCTCCACGCCGTTGGCGGCGCTGTTGTCGCCACGGTGCCCGGGCCACAGCCGCTGACCGCCGCCGTTGCGGTGCCGCCCCCACCGTGGAGAGGAGGAGACGGAGGCGGCGGAGATTGGGAAAGGAGGTCCTGGCTCGGCCGTTGAGGAGCAGGACGGCCAACACGAATGACCGACCAACCCTGGAAAACGATGAAGGGGAATAGCTGGTGAAGGCTTGTTGGTGAAAA